ATATATATATATTTATTTATTTATTTATTTATTTATTTATATTTATATATATAAGTTAGCATATTAAGTTAAAGTTATGTAAAGTTATTAAGTCATCTGTTAAAGTCATGAAATTGTATGTTAACCAAAAAAAGCGACTGGTTCCAAATCATTAAAAATAAATTGAAAATGTCATTTTAAAAACCTTCTATTTTTTTCTCTGGAAAAACCTAACCCAAATCTTGATTAAAAACTATACTATATATCCAAAAATTTACAAGAAAAAATAACTGACTTTGCGGAATTCTTCAGATGTTAAATCACTAAACTGTGTTTCACCGTAAATGGCTGATCCTCGCTCCTCAAATTGTAATTTTCCTGCCAAACGCATGTTTTGCTTGTATGTTTTAAAACGTTGTATTTGCTCTTTCATGGAAGAATACACACGTTTAAATCTGAAAGTTAAAAAAATTTGTAAAAAGCTCTTTTATCACACTACTTCTCCTTAATTTATTAAATTTATTATTATAAATATTTATAATAACATTATTATAAAATATTTATATCATAAATATTTCCTCATTTTATTATGAATATTTTTATTAATATTTATTTCAAATATTTTTTATGAACATTTTATCAGTTTAATTAGCGTTTCCTATAATATACTGAGTAAGAATATTAGATAGAACGAACATTTCTGAAATAAATCAAATTTCATTCATTGAGTCTGTATTAAGCTTATAAATATTTTTTGATAAAAAAAAAAGGATATATATGCCTTTTTTAGATTAAAATAATATAAAAACTGAAATAATAAAATAATGTGGATATTTATCAATTTATCAATTTATCATCAAAATGAGGAAGACAAACTTTTTGATAAATCTTAAAAATTCATGCCATGCTGTTGGCGACCTCTGTTGATTCTTCCATCTCGCAAATGGATTCCCAGACTTGAGACTATCTTCCGAGTCCCCAAAATGATTTTAAATATGAAAATTTCGAATTAATTTGTTTCCAGTTTCTCATTATAAATTCTGAACATTTTATTAGACTAACACACAATACCAATTTTTGCTAGATGCTTGTGATGGTTGGTTATAGTTGGAACAAGTTATCAATGTAACTTTTTCAGGAACTTTCCAATTAAATTGAAATACTTCAAACGTACATGCCTGAAAATCGTATAGAATAAAGAAATAATTCAAATTATTAGGCAAAATAATATAGAGAGTGTAAGTTCGTATAAAATATAGAAAATATAAGCAGCAAATTTACAGAAATTCAATAGCATGGTTAGTAATATTTTTCGTTATTAATAACAAAAATAATTTTAGTGAACATAAGAATTGCAAGTAATATAGCGTTGAAAAAAGTCAACACAAATGTAACCATCTTTTTCATTCCAATCTCAAAATCAGTGTGCGTAAGTCTAAATTATCACATAATTAATATTTAAAATTAGCAATCACTTACTTTCCAGTCCAGCGTGTTTATAGGCTCGCATTTTTCGTAAGGCTTAAAGAGAGGAAGATTCTCAGTATGTATCTGAAATGCTTAGAAAACTTTCAAAATCGAATATTTTTTCAAAACACGTTGAAAGTTTACTTGAATTACCTTATACATCAAATACATATATTCGTTCACATCATTTTTAAAGAATTTAGTAAGAGAAAAAATTCACCAACAAATCCTTACAGTTTTTGTGCAGTTGGAAGGAGCCATTGCTACTTTAATGATGAATCTGATACCAATATTAAACATGCTATGAACACTTAAAACTTTCATAGGGATCCATCTGTAAGTGTCGTTAGAATCTTGATTGAATTCAATTACTGCTCTTCGTACCATTTCCTAAGATTTTAACTTTTTTGTGAAACGACTGATCATACTGCTAAAAATAAGTACCTAATTTTAATTTACTAATATTCTATAATGCCCGCAAACTGAATAACTTCTGTGTTAAACACTAGATGAATTAATTACAATTTACAAATTTTCGTTATTCCGTCAAACCAACTTTTTCTAACTTCCTAACCTTTGGTTTTTAGCATGTAGCTACTTATGAGATCAGCTAAGATACATTCACACATTCGCAAAGATGTTATCGAATACTTAGCCAGATTTTCTTAGTAAACAAGTTTTATTATTTAGTGCGTAAAAGAATTTGATTTTGATTGTCTTTTAGATCAATTAATAACAGTAAAGAACTCTCAAAGCAGTAGTTAAAAATTCATATCTCTTCAACCTGATATTCCTCAGCTTCTAGATCATCTGCGTATTCTGAATTTGCTTTGACAGTAGGAAATACTACCATAAGTAATAAAATTATCCAATTATTTGCCAACATATTGAAAAAGGTTGTAGTTAAGGAGGAAGAAATACTGCTCTTTTTAACTGATCTTCTGAAAAAATGACCAAACTAATTAAAATGCTGTTTAAGTAATTAATTACACAATAATGGTTGTAAATTCATTATTTTCTACTACGTATTCACAAAACTTTTAAACTTTTCGTTGCTTCTTTTGTATTGTAAAATTAGAATTAAAATTATTAGTAAAAAGTAATTGCCTCAGATTAAAACCAATTTTAAAGTTGGACCGATTTATCTATGGATTTCGAATTCAATCACTGAATGAATACTTCATAGAATAAATAAATTAATGACTAATGAATAAATTGCTGAAATTTGTTAAAAAATGAATAATATACCAGAAATGAAATTATTCTATAAATAAGCCGTACTTTCCGATTACTTCAAACAAAAGTAACCACACAAAAACAATGATAGAGACAAAAACCAGTAAATTGTATGTAAAGTAAAGCTGTATTTGTCATCAACAACATGTACTCAAACTAATCTCTGAGTTGTAAAGAGGTCGAGAGCGAGGTTTACTAAGCGAGCTAGTCTGAGTGGCAATAATGCAATATATCCTTCTCGATCTCGACTGATCTTCAACCATCTGTTCAGTAGATCCCTTCGATAATTGATTGATCTTTTCTTTCGCCTTACTACTATCACTTCTCCACCTGTCTACCAAAACTGCATTTATCTGCAACAAATAGCAAGCTACTTCTTTCTTTTTCTTGCAGAATTTTTCTCATATGATCTCACAAAATCCATAAATTACGCTAATAGAGAGAATCTAATGCAGTACTGTTCATTAGGGCTAATATCTCTTCTTGATTTCATGAATTTTGAAGAATTCTAATAAAATCTCTAAATACTTTATTGCATTATTTTTTACATTATAAACTTATGTATTTATTAAGTTATTTTTGAAAATTAATTATCAGAAAATCATTACGATAGTTACTGATTGAGTACTTGCGTGATAAAAATCAACAAAACGTATTTGTGTGCTAACATTTGCCTTTCTTTTTACTTAATTTCCAATAAGCAAAAACGTCAACTAATTCAATTAATATTATAAGTCTAAATTATTACTCATTCTATACTACAAATATGCATTACGCGAACTTTTCTAGAAATTGAGACTTACTTTCGTGAAAGACAAAAGCGTACAAAAATATACTCACAATGAAGCGAAGAAAATGTATTGAATACGAATGGAAATTCACGAAAAATTTCAATAACTGCTGCCAAAAACTTTGCTACATTTAGGCCATCCTTATTTGACCGAATACTATTGAGTTTCTTACTCCTTCCTCAGTAGTTAATTCATGAACGACTTTGAACAGAAAGACTACATTGTGGTCATAAGAACTCTGTCTTAATTTTTGACCAGCAGTTCTCATCTTACGAGTTTATCTTCATGAATACAATCACTACAAGATGCAAAGCAACTCTGAAGATGTGCACCATGTGAAGATTAGTTTCATAAGTCTCAAAACTTTTTCGAATTCTGCAATTTAAGAGCTGAGTTGCAAACTCGGCATTAGTTGTAAATCCATCCTAGTCGTGATACCCTCAATATCGCATGAACTAACTTAATATCAGGATAAATTCTGTAGTGATACCAATTCGCCTTGATTTTCCGCTAGCAAAAAATTTTTTCAGGAATTCCGACTTTTACACTTACAACTTTCACAGTCTTCTTTGCATGACACCTTTCGTGAGTTACTAATTCTCATATCAGACAACTGCTCAGCTAATAATTATAACTTATTTTTTCCAAATTGACCATTTTTTGCAGCACTCAGCAAAAATCATGTCCATTTATCAATCCTTACTATATGCTTAAATAACTGCTCAGCTTTTGACCTTTGCTGACCAATCGCAATTTGTAATAATACTATCGAAAAATTCTCCATTTTTCTTGAAATGTTTAATTTCTAAGCTCTAACAGTTTACTCTACAGGAATCGTCAAATCATAGGTATACTGCTACAAGTAACTGTTCGCTAGGCTGTGAGCAATTCGTCAACAAATATGTGAATGTTTCAATACTGAAGGCGTACGTAGTCCAATCTTATGACGAACTTAAAACTGCAAGCAGATATGAGTCTTCGGTCAGTACGAGCTAAAAATGCATGTCTAATTTCAGCCTAATGTATAGTCAGAGCAAAAAAAAGTTGACGATTCTCTTTGTCTTCCAGTGATTAAAACACATTCTGTAGATTGCAAATCATCTCAAATACTTACTTTCAAAACGTGTCATTACCACTAACTTCTATGAATCTAATCCCTTGCGTCACGTTCACGATGCATTTTTGAGTTTGGCTCACTTTCACATTCGCGCTAGGCTTGAAGTTGGTTACTGTTTCCACTCTCAAGATATCTTTGTCATTTAAGCGCCAAATCGCTTTGCGACACAATACTGGTCTGAGAGAATGGGCTTCTACGACACCTATCGTCTCTCAAAGAATTAGTGGAGAAGAAACTATTTTCTGAAGTTTCTTTCAATATATTTTTAATTTTGATTACAATTTGTTGCAGTTACGCAATGACTGCTGGTAAAATGTATAGACTTGGGCATCGTGGATTACTTCGATTGAAAGGAAAAGACGTAATGCAATTCTTGCAAGGTCTCGTTACAAATGACATCAGGTCAGGTAAATAATATTTTAAATTGCCTAATCACATATTTGGGCTCTTTTCATGATTACTTCCAGTTAATCCCAGTAATATTCATTCATATTTTGTTTGCGAGTCTAAAACAGTTCGTCCAATAATTTAAAGCTATTCGTATCCGTCCAATAATTCAAAACTTATTGCTTCAAAAAACTTGTCTGAAAAAAATTCCAGTTTAATGTCATAATCAATGCTTGTTAAATTGCCATAAAAATGATAATCTTTGAAATGAAATAAGTTGATTTCATGTTTGGATCACTTGTGGAATGAATGAGCAGTTTAAAAGAAGTAGAAAATGACTCCACACAGTTTGAACTAATCACTCTTAGCAAGATATTATTGATTGCCCGTTCTGACCATTAACTTACTTAAAATAAATTTGTACAATTTAGCAATTTTCTTTTTTGTATTTTACTCTAATCACTAAAAAAATATGTAAAAAAGTTTGGAATAGTTGAATTTTCAGACATTTAGCAGATGGTCAAGCACAATATGCTTTAATGCTTAATAGTCGAGGACGAGTTGTTGAAGATTTTATTTTATATCGTCAAGCAGATGACGTTTTGGTCGAAAGTGATCGAAATAAACAAGCAGACTTACAAAAATTGTTAGAATTATATAAGGTGCACAAGGATGTGAGCATTGATCTTGAAATGAAAAGTTATTTATATCACATGGACAGTATAGCTGACGGCAGTGGCGCAGTCAAAGATCCAAGAGTACCATCCTTTGGTATGAGAATTTTGAGAGAATCTATACCAGGTAATCTTCTCCTATTATGTGTCCATTATTTGACAAGTATAATTCAAGTTGCAAAAGTCAGTTATATTATCGGTGTTTGTAGTGGACATAAACGTTTTTTAAAAACCGAATCTAATATTTCACTCTAAAGAACTAAAGTTCTAAAGAATCATTTAGCTGTTCTTAGTTTTCTCCTGTTTCAACATATCAGTTTTTATTCTATGCAAAAAAATAAAAAACATCATAAATGAAATTCATTTTCGTTGGAACTGATAAAACACTATAAGCGGTAAAGCTTCTATAAGGTCGAGTAAGTTTTCAACTTTCAGATGATGAAATACTGGATGGTAATGCTTATCACGAAAGAAGGTTTGATTTTGGTATACCTGAAGGAACAAGTGAATTGTCTGGTGAACTGCCACTTTCCATGAATGCTGACATCATGAATGGGATCAGGTTTAAACTTAAAATTGTTGGTTCAAAATCATGTAAAAACGTTAAATTGGATTATGAAACATTATAAATGTTTTGTAATTTAACTTCATCACAGTCGTGCTCCATTGTTGACATGAAGTCTTATTCATTATCAGCATCAATTCCAGTGTGCATTAATTGTGTCACTGTTAATGGACATCACCAAGAATATATGCTTAATTACTTTTTGCTCGATCATTTTGTAAGTTCGGATGATCCTTATCTTTAGCAGCGACAAAGGGTGTTACTTAGGACAAGAAATGACAGCACGCGCTATAAATGCTTTAGAAATACGAAAACGTCTTTTGCCGTTCACATGCAAAGGTAATTACTGAAATCTATCAAATACAACAATTGTTTGCTGAAATCTGTTAATTTTTCTACTTTTCTTTAAAGAGGAATTTCGAAAAGCTGTAAGCTGCCCTATTGATCAAAATCCTCCAAGTTGATTGCTGCCTGCAGAAACTGTTTGCATATTATTTTCAGGTGTAGTTACGGGTCCACTGATCGACAATGAAGGACGACATGAAGGTAGAGTGGTTGCGTGCAATGGAAGGAAAGGATTAGCATTGGTACCTTATTTACGTGATATTAACCGAACCACTTATATGACCAAAAATGGCAATATTGAGATCTTCTGGCCATTCTGGTGGCCCAGCAAGCTTAGAGCTCATTCCCATCAAACTCTCTCGTAATTGTTGGAACAGATATCCATTGCTTTATGTGAGATCCTATGCTCTTTGTGTAGCATAGGTATTATCAAATAAAATCTTACACTGGGCAGGTCACAAAGAAGTTTGGTATTATAATGTCGAAATCGGAATTTGGAAAGTTACAATTTCTTCTTTCTTCTGCATCTTTAGATTTCGAGTAAACATTTATTCTATTTTTAATTATAACTAATAAACACATCAAGAACTGATCATACCAGAAAAACATTTAAAAGTAGCTGAACAAATGAAGTCACTGATTTTCACAAAGAGCAGTAAAAACCTGCCCAATATCTGCAGTACTAAGACTGATCTCCTAGTAATGAAAGTGAAGTGACATGCAAGTTTGTATTTTTAGTTTCAAAAATAGCGCTCAAAAATCAAATATCAGAAAATTTCCATAGGTAACAGTTTCAGAAAAATTGGCAATCATTTAATTCCGGATTTGAAAATGTCGTTATTAAGCATTTAGTCCCATTTCTTCGCTTCTTTTTGTTTGGCTTTCATGCCATGCTTTACGAATTGTTCTTTTCATTTCATCATCTCCATCTTCATAAAGCTGCTTCATCAAAGTCATCAATGATTCTTGAGGATCAGATTTCTGGTCAAATTTGGGAGTGCTGAAACAGTATGAAAATTTAATATACATGTCGGCCTCAGAAACGATTTTTTAAGAAATAACGTGATCTATAAAATGCACAAATGAGATGAATCATTTTTGTATAAGGCTTTGCGTTTAACCGGCCTTTTCTCTTTGCTCTGATGCTCGGCTTTAGTTAAATATTTCCAGTTCTCTTTCTTCTCTTTCTTCATCATCACCAACAATAGGTCGTTTTTTTGCTGCAATTTACACTATTTGTTACAGAATAAGTCAAAACATGATAACGAAATGATTAATGATGTGAAATAGAAGGATCATTTGTTTTTCTAAATTAAATGACGCATCATTTAAACATATGCATAGATAAAATTTTCACGATATCGCAGTACAATTCGTTGGGAATAGTAAAGTATACTTTGAAAGTTGAACTAGACGGGATGATATTTTGGAGCAAACCCTTTATTGTTAACAAGTAATTTGCCGAATCTACGTCACGAACAAGAATTTCGACTTCACTGGAAAAAAAAATGAAATAGTTCGAGCAATCTAATTACACCATCAGATAAAAATAGAAATGCATATATTCACATAGCTTTAACAAATCTCAATTACTTTTAATAGAACTTTTTTTCTATATTACAATATTTTGATTTTTAAATATAAGATCTAAACATCGAAAAAAATTGAAATAAATCTTTAAGGCTTTACTTTTCTGCAAAGGTCACTGCGATTCGGTCTTGAGGAACAGTATGAACGTTTGAAATAGTGACATAGAGTTTTACATATTTCTCGCTTTGATCCCAAGCTGCGATGATAGAAAAAAATTTTCAACTCTAGTGTTTATTGTATAGCATAAAATTAAATTCTGACATTTTTACATATGATAACACTATAACTATACCCTAAGTAGCTGGCAGAAAACAGAAATTCATAGAGAAAGCGACGAAACAAATATATCTGATTGCTAACCAGAAGGTCGCCTCAGAAATGCATAACATAAACTGAAGACTAGTAGAAGATACGACAGTTTGTAACAATTCGGAAATGAGCAAAAGCTGTGAATAGCAAAGTTCTTAGTAAATATTTAGGTGAAACATTTTAGTAAATTCTGGAATGATAAAAAATTCAAGTGATGAAATTTTCTTACCATAATTTGTGACCTTTATCGTTGGTAATGGAACAGCATCATTTTTCTTTTGGTTTATAACCATATCAGTAGAATTCTTAGCATCTCCGGCACTTTGTTCTATCTGAAAAGAAAATTTTTGTAATTTCTTAAAGAGAAACGTTTTTGATAACTTTTGACTACATGAAGTACTTCAAAAAGTTGATTCAGTACAGAAAGGAAAAAGTTTAATATTAAAACACCTTTCTTTCGATATCAGTGATCTTTTCATCTAAGATACTTTTCACGTATTGCCGAGATGCAATGGAACGCAAATTTTGTAATTCATGCAAATCTCGACGTAATTCGCCACGTTCTTCCATCACTACAGAAAATAAATACTAGAGTGTGCACCTGAGAGAAATAGAGCTGACAACTGATTTTAAACATTACGTTCATTCTATGCACAAATATCTCAGAATTATTCATCAGAATGCCATGTACAATTAATTTTTCGTTAACATGCAGTTTAAAAATGAAACTACTAATAAACTTAAACTATAATAGTTGGACTTGAAATAACCCATTACTCAGCCAAACACGCAACCTCCGAACGCCCCCATCACCCACATACCAATTCCTACCATGCAAACACTCAGTATTGCAATTTGAATGTCAACCGCTTACTTTTGTCATTTTTCACAAACTCTGCTTGTCTGCATTAATCCCCATTCTGTGCTCTTAAACTCTTTCTTTGTTTCTATGCTCTCATATTGTTTTTTATTTTGCGGCTAATTCTTTTATTTTTGCATTCTCTCTTCTTAGTTTCTCGTTGTATTCTATGCAGATCTCCGTAATCTTCAGCTACTTTTTGCACTTCTGAAAATAAAGACTCATTAAATAATATCTTTTGTATTCACAGTTTAATACTACCTTCTTCTTCTATTTGTTAAAGATAAGCGAGTTAATATCTTTGTGAGCAATATAGTATTTTTCATTATTTTCGCTAATTTATCCTATTAAGCTAAAAAGTCAATTGTTTCTTAATTTGTTCAGCCATTTCGAATCAGATATTAACTGCAAAAGGCGTCTTGTTACCTAGCATTGGAACGAAGTTATAAGTTTATGCTGGAACAAGAATAATTCGTGAACTATTGCATGAATTTACAGTAACTGACAAAAAACTGTCAAAGTGATGTTGGCAACTGTGAGACTGAATTCGATGACAGTTCAAATTAATTCGTTTAAGGTAATATTTTGATTTTGGAGGTAACATTAATGTAAATGCTATGCTCTTGAAAACCAAAATTTGTTTTATTTGTAATTTTTTGAAAAAAGTTTGTATAATTTATAAAATCATATTGAATTACTTGTCAAATTTTTTGAGGCTCCGAAGTTGAAGACTTGAAGTAACAATAGCTGGCTTCAATGCTCTTTGGTAGCTGCATCAGTCGCCTTCTGAAATTGATATGGTATAATGAAGAAAAAATTAGATATAGATACCCATAAAATTTATCTATGCTAATGCTATCTGAGAATAAGGCTAACCATAGATTACCTTGGGATCAATTTCTCGCTTTGGATACATTCCTTCAGCATAAAACTGCAAAAAATTTTTATAGTTTATTATTTCATTTCATTTATTTTTTGACATCATAGCTTTCTTTTGGTTTGAGAAAGCTTTTTAAGTGACACTAATTTTCAAATCTGCAAAAAATAGATCTGTATATTACTACACTACGGATCAACTATGCGATGTTATCCTCAATTGAGAGCATTATATTTCTTTAAAGATTTAAATTCGTGATTCTCTTTCTTGCAGTCGCATTTTCAGATTCTGACATCAGAATCTTACAATTATATTTTAGATTGAATGATTAAAATATTTATACTTCAAAAATAGTGCTTTACATCAAGAATGTTACCTTCTTATGTAGGTCAAATGGATAATATATATCCTGCCAATTATTTGCCCAATTTTATTGCATAGGCAAAGCGACTATGCTTGCAAATCATTATATCAATTTAAATTAGCAATTAAAGAATACTTTCTAAACTACTATCGTCACTTATAAATTATGCACATGAATTTTTTAATGCAATTGATATATCACTAAATCTGATTTTGTTTCCTTCTTCATTAGCGCTTATGCAGTTATTGAAATGCGAATAATATACGAATTAAACTCAAAAGTTTAACTGAAAACATTTGTTGAGAGCAAGAATTAGAATAAATGTGTAATCACTCAAAGTTTGATTTTTGCTTCAAATGAGCATATCTTGTTTCCTCTTCATATTCAGTGTAAAATAGTACGGAGGATTTTGTGAATTTAATCGAATGAAGTCAGGAATCGAACACTGAGAGAAGCAAAATACCAACTAAAAATGCTATTGTGAACAGTTTTGATAGTTCAAACAGTAACGAAAAACATGAATTATACGAACCCATGAATGCAATTTTTAAATTTTTTCTATCTAAAGAATCAACCAAATTCTGGATTACTTTTGCCACTCTAAGTAACTGACTCTATGATATTTGCAAGTATTACTTAGAAATTATGATGAAAGTTGAAATCGACGCCGAAATATATCCTTCCCGGTGGTTGTTTCATATCACCCATTACCAATTTCTTGACACTTTTTAATCACTAACGTTATATCTACATCCTTCCTTTTACGCAATTCTTGATAATATCTCTTCATCATTCAACTTCTGGTCAGCTGATATCGATTATTAGGCTAGTCAATAACAATTTCTTAGTGTTTGTTTTTGCAGTTTTTCTAATAAAATGCTCTGATCACTGATTTTTTTTAATCGCGAGCTTAGTTTATCAGTTTATTGATTGTGTGATAAGCAAACAATCATGTTTGAAAGGATATGTTTGACCGAAAAAGGGATAAAATGCATGTATAGCATGTAAAAATAGTAGCAAGTTATTTTTTTACTGTATCATGCAAGACTTACTTTATAAAATATCTGATGTGAATCAATGGATTTCATATTTTTAATTTGTGTTTTTTCAGAAATTGTTTCCGTTGAGGTTTGTATTTGAAAAACAAATCAGTTTTTTTATTTTTGCTTCAACTTTTTTAAATGTGGGCTTGCAAAAGAAGTTCAAGTACGAAAGAATATGTTAATAAACTCTATTGTTTAAATTTGTGAATTTCTGAAATTTATTTCTTTCCAAAATTTTTTTACTATATTTCAGCAGTGAAAATTGGAAATAAAACATTTCGAACATTGGAAAAGTTATCCCAAATAAAGTTCATTTCTCACGTGGATTCAAAAATCGTAATCTTAGCGGGAAGAATAGCAGTGATAAGAATGCTGAAAGGATGGATTACAGGAAAAAAGACAGGAAGTTTCTGATGCAATGAGGGTGGAAATGTCACCTTCGAATAATAAAGTCTTTTATTTCTGTATTTCCGAAATTCAGTATCAGTTTGATGAATTTTGGCAAAAAATGGTTGCTCAAAAAGTTAAATGCAATCAGTTGTACAAAAATGGCTGATTAGTGATTGTATAGAAATCGAAATACTCTTTAGTTCTTTTTCATCAAAATTAGCTTAGAATAACTTACAAGTATTTGTTTTAGACTAAAAGTATTCTCGAACTAGTCTATTTGCTAGTGTCTACTTGAATGATGAAAATAAACTACAGATCAGTCTTATCCTTCTCGACAATGTTCTTACTGCTTCTCACAAGAAATCTATGCAAGAAATATTTGTAGTTTATAAGCAGAAGTAGTATTTTTAAGGAATTTGCTAATTTACTGTGTACTCATTTCAGCAGCAAAAGGATAATCAAGTACTGATTGATCCTAATCAAACCGAAGAGCCCAACTGTTCAAGCAATTAGAAAAAAGCAAAACTTGCAAAGAGTCTAGTAGAAAAAACAAAATTGTCGTCAAGATTCTGTTCTACAAGTGTGATCATATCATTCTTAGATCAGAATATGATGGTATACTATTTTAAGATCTACACAACAAACAAGTAGTTCAAACGTCATTATTTGATGTGGCTTACAAGCAATATTCTCGTTTTGTTACTCCAATGGATTCAGAGGTCACTCTGCTAGATACTCTTAAAGTTAACCTTTCCATGCCAACAAGCAATGAGGTTACAGTCCAATAATTGATAAATGTGAATTTGCAAAGTTTTATTGAACTGCTATAATCACAAATTTCAGCTTCTCCGATATTACATCGTGATGTGTCTGCTTTCAGTGTGGAATTTGATATCTGATCCCACTTTTTGATGTCAATTATCGAGAGCTTTTGAATTCACACGTTAACAATAAGAGTACTGCATTAAATTTTCATTTTTGTTAATAATGACGTCAACTGCTTCAATACTTTCGCGTATGCAAATTATTGTCCATATTTACTCCTCTAAAGTATTTTGTATTGAGAGCATTTTTTATTGCTTATGATTGTAGTTGGTATAATTTTTGATCACTGCCACTGAGTAATAATTTATTTTGATTTATTTGAAAGTATTTTTTGTATTAACTGGAAAAGTTATCAAAATTGATTTCAGAATTTTTGAAATTTAAGAAATTCGGTGTCTTAGTTTATAGACATAGACATACAAATACATTTTGGTGATTTATTTTTCATTAAGAAGCGGAAGTATTATCGTGTTATTTACTTTAGTGAATGACAAGTGGTGATGAACAGAGGTTAAAGTTAAGCTTTGCATATTTGGTCAGTTGACTCTTTTGCGTTTGTGTTGACTTTATGACGTAATCGTAAAGCATATAGTTACGTAATTCACGACGTCACGTCTGTGAATATGCTTATTTTGTCAACTGCTTTGTACGCTTTTTTGAAATATTTACGTGTATATGTTTTCACCTGTATGCAAACTTTTTATGGTAAATTTGTTACTTCCAATTAAATTATTTACATTTTTCGTTTGTTTCTTACTTTCAGTTTTCCACTCACTTTTTCTGCGTTCTTACGTTTATTACTCCAGTCATTTGTATTTGAATGAAATAGTTGAGTTTACTCGGCTGAGGTAGCAAAAAAAGCGTAATTTGACACCGAAACACAGTATCCTGTTACCAATCGTTGGCTTCCTTCTTTACTATACTATAGCAGCCCTTCCATACTATTTCTTCGTTCTTTTTCTCTTCCTTACTTTTTTATTCTTTTTCTCTTGCATGTTATTCATAATTATTAAAATATACTATATCACTAATAATAATGATAATAACAGTAATAATAATAGTAGTAACAATAATGATAATGATTGTAATAACAATGATAATGATAGTTATAAAAAAGACTAATGATCATAATAATTACAAACTGAATGCAAAGTTTTGAAACAGTAAGCGGCAATGAAAATAGCGCACCTGTAAAACTTTCAGTGCAAAGTA